AGTAGAGACGGGGTTTCACCGTGTTGACCAGGATGGTCTCGATCTCTTGACCTCATGATCCACCCGCCTTGGCCTCCCAAAGTGCTGGGATTACAGGCGTGAGCCACCGCACCCGGCCCTAAAACATTTATTTTCTAGTATAAATACTTAAAGCTATAAATTTTTCTCTAAGTCCTGCTTTAGCTGCCTCCCTCAATTTCTAATATATTGGCTTTCTTTTTTTTTAACTGTCATTCAGTTCAAATTCTTTCAAATTTTCCTTATGATTTCTCTTTTGACTCACAGGGTATTTAGATGTATATTGCTTATTTGTAAGTGTTTGGGAGATTTTCCAGATATCTTTTTGTTATTGATCTATTTGTAAGTTCACTGATCCTTTCCTTTGCTATCCAATCTGCTGTTAAGCCATCCAGTGAATTTTCTATTGGACATATTGTACTTCTCAGTTCTGGAATTTCCATTTGCTTATTTTTACTTTTCCCATTCTTGAGATTCATTAACTCATGACGATCACTTTTTCCTTTCAGGCCTTGACTATATTTATATCACTGTTTAAAGTTTTTTCTGCTGGTGCCAACTTCTGGGTCATCTCAGGTTTTGTTTCTATTGACTGCTTTTTCTTTTAGATATACATCACATTTTCCTGTGGGCTGTTTTTTTCTTTCACATGCCTTTTAATTTGTCATTGTATATTATTAGACATTCTACATAGTAAACTTTAGAGACTGGATTATTGTCCATTGAGAAGTGTTTATTTTTGTTATAATAGGCAGTTAACTTACTAGTTGATCACCTTGCTGAGGCTTGGTTTTATCCTTTGCTAGTATGAGTCAGCTTTTGTTTTGCTCTTAGTCTCAGAACAAATATTTAGTCCTGGGATATAGATTTTAGCTCTATGGTGTGGCCTTTTAGTATTATTATTATTTTTTTGGAGACAGCGTCTCGCTCTATCGCTAGGCTGGAGTGCAGTGGCGCGACCCTGGCTCACTGCAGCTTCCGTTTTCTGGTTTCAAGCAATTCTGCTGCCTCAGCCTCCCTAGTAGCTGGGACTACAGGCACGCAACACCACGCCCGGCTAATTTTTTGTACTTTTAGTAGAGATGGGATTTCACCATGTTGGCCAGAATGGTCTCGATCTCTTGACTTCGTGATCCACCTGCCTCGGCCTCCCAAAGTGCTGGGAATACAGGCGTGAGTCACCGGGCCTGGCCAGCCTTTCAGGATTTTTAAGTGGAAAGCCCTATGTGTTTACCCAGACCCTCTGACTTGAGATTCAAATTCAAACTCTTTCTCTGCTACAGTGGTTAACAGTAGAAATTTGCTTAGCTGTTTCAGACCTCCAGTGGTTGCCTTTTGCTGGGCTCCTTGGAAATTCCTCCATCCACAGTTTAGCAGTCAGCCTATTATTTGAGGGGAGTTTATATGCAGATTTAAAGGCTTCACCTTCTGTGGCTTCCTTCATTCCAGGAAATCCACCTTCAGCTGCTCTGGAGTCCCAAACTCTCCTCCATCCTCTGACTCTTCAAGCCAAAAAAGGCTGGAGCTTTCTACTCAAGTTCTAGTTGGCCTGTGCCATTTATACTTGAGAGTACACTCGGGGGAAAAAAATCAATGTAGATGGTTCTTGTCACAGAAGAGTTGAGTTCCTTTTAGTTTCTACCTGCTTTGGGTATTTTAGGTGCTTTCAAAAAGTTTTTTTCTTGTTGTGCCCAGTTTATAAATTTTTTGCCTAAGGGGGCATTCATCTAATAAACTATTCTGCCATTACTGGGCCATCCTTTCACTTTCAACTTGTTTATAGCTAGTGTGTAACTCATCTATATGTTTATGATCTGCTGAGGTGGAGAAGATTCATTCATAAAGCCTAAAGTGTAGTACTGAGTACAGGTGCAGGTGGAGCTTAGAGCAGAATTGGTGTCACTGGTCGGGGGCGGGCTGCAAAGAAGAGGTCTTTGCGAGGTAGGCTGTGAGGGCTAAGTAACACTTGGATGAACAGACAGGAGGAAGACTGTGGTGACTTGCTGAGCTAAGGGCAGGGGTAGGCATGAACATGGTGTGAGGACAGTGAGCAGACTCGCCTCCCTGGCTGGAGGTCTGAGTAGGAAAGGCACACTCTTTGAGTAGATTCAACACAAAGAAATAGAGGCAGCGTGGCTCAGGGATGCCCTAGATCTCTAGGCATTGTCAAGTTGCCTATGTCCTATTCCATCAAGGCTGTTTACTGACCTGCTTCCAGGGCACTCCCCACTCCCAGCCTCTTCCTGCAGACCGAGGCTGCTTCCCAGCCTCTCAGGAGATTTAAGATGGGCACCTTCCACAAACGGGCAGATGAGGTGAGGAAAACTTTACAGACACAGTTGTGCCAGAAGCCAAAATCAGAGGGGTGCCCTTTCTGTAGCCCCATTATAAAAGAACTGCAAAAAGGTGGAAGCATCTTCAACGAACATGGGCTAGCACCTCCCAGACCTCAGGGAGTTCACTTCTGTTCATCCCAGCACCCAACATTGCATATCCAGATTATTTGAGCCCAATCTTTTATCCTCTGAAGAACACAATCGGCTTTGGGAACACAAAAGGTTTAGGTAGTGGTTTAGGGATTTCTAATCCCAAACTTTGTCCTTAGGAGGTTTAGGATTAGTGTTCATCAGTCACAGAGCCCAAGTGTTTTTAAAGGAGGGGTTTTGTGGGGTGGATCATCTATAAGAGGACTCAGAGGGGTGTGGGGTATCCATGAGCAAGATGTCAGAGGAAGAGGAGTTTTATCTGTTCAAGAACATCTCTTCGGTGGGGCCGTGGGATGGGCCTCAGTACCACATTGCCCCTGTCTGGGCCTTCTACCTCCAGGCAGCTTTCATGGGCATTGTCTTCCTTGTAGGGTTACCACTGAATGCCATGGTGCTGGTGGCCACAGTGCGCTACAAAAAGTTGCGGCATCCCCTCAACTACGTTCTGGTCAACGTGTCCGTGGGAGGCTTCCTTCTTTGCATCTTCTCTGTCTTCCCTGTATTCGTCGCCAGCTGTCACGGATACTTCGTCTTTGGCCGCCATGTTTGTGCTCTGGAGGCCTTCCTGGGCACCGTAGCAGGTACTGCAGGGGAAAGGGATTAGGGGAAGGCAAAGGTTGCTACTCCACTAGAGTGGGTCCCTAAAGAGGAGTCTTGGCAAAATGAGTCTGGTGCTTTTTAAAATACTGGGGTACAAAGCAACCCAGACTAGAAGTTTGGCCAAAACAGGATGTTTGAGTCTTCACTCCAATGTCAGTCCAGCCCTCTGCCTCCCTGTGCTTGCTCTACCCAATCTGTATGCCACTCTGCCCCCAGGCTGGGTGGGGATCTGTCTATCCCATTATCCTCACATTTCGCCACAGGTCTGGTGACAGGCTGGTCACTGGCCTTCCTGGCCTTTGAGCGCTACATTGTCATCTGTAAGCCCTTCGGCAACTTCCGCTTCAGCTCCAAGCACGCACTGATGGTGGTCCTGACTACCTGGACCATTGGTATTGGCGTCTCCATCCCACCCTTCTTTGGCTGGAGCCGGTGAGAGTGCAGGGCAGTGGTGCTGACTTAACTAAGAGCTCAGGTTGATGTGGGTGGAAAGAGAGCTTGGGTATAACCACTTAGTCTTTGACCTCTACTTTTTAAAGAGTTGCGATACATGAGGCGAAAGGGCAGTGGGAGACCAGTGCTAATGTTTACTCTGCAGTTGGAATTGCTGTAGCTTCTCCCAGTCAGGACAGAAACCCCTCCTGCTTGAAGCCTTTGGGCATTCTCTGGGTTCTAAGTGGAGAACACAATCCAGGCCTCTCAGCTCCCACTGCACTAGCTCTTGTGGAGAGCCCAGTGAGCATGTTTGGTCCTTTGCAGGTTCATTGCTGAGGGTCTGCAGTGTTCATGTGGTCCTGACTGGTACACCGTGGGCACCAAATACCGAAGCGAGTACTATACGTGGTTCCTCTTCATCTTCTGCTTCATCGTGCCTCTCTCCCTCATCTGCTTCTCCTATGCTCAGCTGCTGAGGGCCCTGAAAGCTGTGAGTGGCGTTTGAGAGTCAGGGAGGAATGGGTTCGAGGCTCCACATGAGAAGAGAGTGCTCTGGAACGTAAGATGACCGGAAACGTCCATAGCCAGAGAGGGTATCTAAAGCAGCAAAGCAGTGGAAGGGAGAATGATGGAGATAGAAAGGAACTAAGCCAGGAGATGCGACAGAAAAGAGGCAATCATCAGAGTGGATGCCCCCTCCCCCATCCCACAGAAAATCATCCAGAGGCTGCGTGCAGTGGTTCACACCTGTAATCCCAGCACTTTAGGAGGCCGAGGCGGGCGGATCACCTGAGGTCAGTAGTTCGAGACCAACCTGGCCTATACGGTGAAACCCCATCTCTACTAAAAATGCAAATTAGCTGGGCATGGTGGTGGACACTTGTAATCCCAGCTACTCGGGAGGCTGAGGCAGGAGAATCACTTAAACCTGGGAAGCGGAGGTCCAGTGAGCTGAGATCGCACCACTGCACTCCAGCCTGGGCAACAGAGTGAGACTGTCTTAAAAAAAAAAAAACAAAAAAAAAACTAGAGATCTGGGAGTTGAGGGCCAGGAAGAAAAGGGATGTGATGCTCTCTGTGCTCCACCCCAGGTTGCAGCTCAGCAGCAGGAGTCAGCTACAACCCAGAAGGCTGAACGGGAGGTGAGCCGCATGGTGGTTGTGATGGTAGGATCCTTCTGTGTCTGCTACGTGCCCTATGCGGCCCTGGCCATGTACATGGTCAATAACCGTAACCATGGGCTAGACTTACGGCTTGTCACCATTCCTTCATTCTTCTCCAAGAGTTCTTGCATCTACAATCCCATCATCTACTCCTTCATGAATAAGCAGGTAAAGCTTTCTATTCACATTCCTATGGTCCAGAAGACCTGGGTTCTTTTCTCACCATTGACTTTTAACTTGGAGCATCCTCAACCCAATTCAGGTTTCTGGGAGTAGACACGGGAAGCCACAAAAACCCCAAGTAGGTTGGGAAGCCCTTGGTAAGCACAGGGAGGAAGGCACAGTTACCAAGACCAGAAAATAGAACCCTGGGAGGAAAGAACTTGAGTCACAAAAATGAAGTTGCTCCACAGAACGGGATGAGTGGAAACATTTTATTGAAAAACTCGTGCAGCAAACCGCCATGGCACATGTTCACCTATGTAACAAACCTGCACATGTATCCCGGAACTTAAATAAAACTAAAACTCAAATTCCTCTGAATTTCCAGTCCTTGCATTTAATGAGTTCTTCATTTCCCTGCCAACTTTTAGCTTGCACGAGCATGTGTGAAGCACAGAAATCACACCACATGCACAAATCTCTAAAATGTCTTATCATCTGAAGGTACTGGGGTATTTCCTATCCCCTATCTGAAATTCGAGCTAATAAACCCCAAACCCTAAGTGGCAAGAACCCTACTTTCAGATGGTGGTGTTTCCACAATTCCAGAGGGAGACGAAACTACTTTTGAAACCTCCCAGGATAGAACAGAATTGGCAGTTCTTTCCAGCTGGAAGCACCTGCTAGTAATGAAGGGGCCTCTGAAGACAGTGCTTTTATGAAGCAGGATGGTTTGTGAAGTTTACTAACAGTGAGGTCTCAGACCTGACGGGAATGTTTAAGATTATAGACCCAGGAGTCGTTCTAGACTGGAAGCTAGCTAGTTTTCAGGATGGGGAAAGTATATTCAAAACCACCTAAGGACATTCGGGGTACAAAGCATCCTGTAAGGTTTTGATGATACAGAGAATGAGGGGTTTTTCCCCCCATACTTCTTGTCTGCCAAGGTTATCTCCAAATGTGCCTTTCTCTCCAGTTCCGAGCTTGCATCATGGAGATGGTGTGTGGGAAGGCCATGACAGACGAATCCGACATAAGCAGCTCCCAGAAAACAGAAGTTTCTACTGTCTCGACTAGCCAAGTTGGCCCCAACTGAGGACCCAATATCAGCCTGTTTGCAGCAACTAGAATTAAATTTTACGTTTAAGTAAGTTTCTATTGTCTCCATCAGAAACCAAACTACTAAAACCACAAAAAAGGTGGTAAGGAGTGATGGCAGTTTGGGGAGTCAATTTTTCATTTTCATACTATTCCCTTCTTGCCTACAAAGCTACTGTTTCCACTGGGTCTATTTCAGACCACTGAAAGGCCATTTCAACAATTATCAGTTTCTACTCCTATGTGGCACCATTCACAGCACTTGGGGAGCTGATTTCTACATACGAGGCCACTATAAAGAATATGGCTTTAAGTTTTCAGTGTATGGATACTTTCCTTTTTAGAAACTTTTTTTTTTTTTTCTGCTGGGGATCCATTCTGAGATGATGTATGCTGAACTAGAACAAACTTAAGAAAACACCTTAGAAATGGGAGAGACAACTTTGGGAGGCTGAGGCAGGCAGATCATGAGGTCAGGAGATCAAGACCACCCTGGCCAACATAGTGAAACCCAGTCTCTACTAAAAATACAAAAATTAGCTGGGTGTAGTGGCACATGCCTGTAATCCCAGCTACTCGGAAGGCTGAGGCAGGAGAATCACTCGAACCAGGGAGTCTGAGGTTTTGGTGAGCCGAGATCGCACCACTGCACTCCAGCCTGGTGACAGAGCAAGACTCCGTCTCAAAAAAAAAAGAAAAAAGAAAAAAAAAACCTTAGTGGCCCCAAATGAGTTTAAAAGAACTTCTGGGTAACTGCTACAGCTTTGGCAGGAACAGCCATGTCCACAAGCCCCTGAGCAAGCACAAATTATTCCACAGGCTTCGGCTAAACCTTTGTATTTGTCTTAAACTCTGTATTTACCAAATAGTTTTAATTCTCTTGAGGTTCTCAAAATGAATTTGCATATCTTAATACCATTTGTAAACAATACAAAAATGTTAAACAAAATTGTTTTACCTTATGCTCTACTCTCCCTCCAGGCCCCTAAAAAAGAGCCTTTTTGAAATAAAAATCAAGGTAAACGTGTGTGTACATTCAGAATCGCTTGTGCTTGGTATCAGATAATTATATAATGAGTAGTTGGTCTCTCCAGTTATACAGCCTAAGGGAAGTACAAATGGGTTGTGGCTGTGGTGAGAAGGATGCTAGAAAATATGGAGGAAATAACCATTTAGGAGAAGGGAGTGCTTTCTCTGAGTTTGGGAGAACTTCTAGCAGAGTTCCTTTTCTGACATTTTATAGAATCCATAATTCTAAGCTAGAGTTGTATTTCTTACAAAATGAAGGTCATACATACCCCACAATGAATGTAAACAGTTTTATTTAGAAACAGATAGAGGTACCTGTTTGCATTGTAGAATATAAAACTTAGTTTACACTCTATAAAAAATAACCAATATCCAAATTCAAGAGAGCTAGCATTCACAGAACACACAATATGGGTGTGTAGCTACTGTTCACCAGCCTCAGGCTTGATTTAAACCGAAAAAATAATCCAAGGGGATCATTCAAGATTAGCATACAATGCTTGCTGCTGAGTCCTCAGCATGCAGAAGTTGCTATTTTAGCAGATTAAGGTTTGCTTTTCAAGTGCGTGATTTTAACATAAGGCCTGGGCTCTCTGCACCTAGTGAGGTGTGAGGCTCTCTTGCCACACAGTTCACAAAACTAAGCCAGAGTTGGTGGCATTATTAAATTATCACTGGTCTTAACAGAAAAAATGGAAAACCCAGAGGGCAGGAAATTTCCATTACCCTATATTGGGGCTAAACTTAAAAGTATATCCACTATCAAGAGCTCAGTACAAAGGCTGGGGTGAAGTTACATGATACCTGGCTTTTTACTATACCAGGGAGCCCACCTCAACATGACTGTGGAAGACCAAAGGATATACCTAGGTTCAGATTATAATAAATCACCCAGCACCACCTGAATGTATTATCCACAAAGATATAGCAAATAATAAAGGTTATATATACATATATTTATCTTGGTAACCTGAGGGCTAAAAACGTGGAATACAATAATTCTTCTCAAGAGGTCCATCTGTAAGAAAGGGACCCAAAAGGACAGTGTTTGTGTTGCATAAAATATGGGTAAGTGGAGTTGGGAACAGAGGGTGGTTTTTTTTAGCTCTTTCCACATCTCTCTCTTTGATAAGGACTGAAAATCTGTTGATCCATGATAAACATTTTTCCTTTTTTTTTTTGGCAGCGGGGAGAGGGAAAGAGGAAGGAATGGGGTGTGATGGGTCAAAGGCAGGAAAGGTGAGCTATGGTCCTCAAACCAAAGAGCCCCCTCTGTAGGTCCTCTCATCTTTGAGTGTGAGCTCAAGCTCTCCAGCGGACACAGAAAGAGGCCTGGTAGTAAGTGGTTTGCATTGTGAGGTATGAGGATCCCTAGTAAATTCAGCAGCATGTGGTTTTTGGAATCAGCCCACAAGATAAGAACACTGCAACCAAACTCATAACTAATACTGCTAATTTAACTATTGTCCAAAAGTGAAAAGGAAGAAGAAAAAAATCTCCACTATATTGGGAGGTTCTAGGCTTTCCTATAAGTTATCCCAATAATCTTTTTTTAATCTTAGGGTTTCTTAAGAGAATTCCCATTCAGTGACCATGTCTCTCGTTAAAGGCACTTTCAATGACATGATTGGAAAGGAGTGAATTTTAATTGTAGTGAAACCAAGATTAATTCCTTGGCATACCTGGGGAAGAAGAGGAACTAGATGGGGGCATTTACAGTGATTTCAACAGGCAATTAATCAAGTCATGAGCATTTCAACAGATGCACACCCAGAAAAAAATGTATGCCCTGAAAACACTTGTATTTTTCCTTTAGTTTTCCAGCTGTTTCTATCTATAGCTCTGTTAAGAGACCACATTCACTACTTGATTTTCAAGACACTGGCCGTAACTCTTCCCACCACAGCTGTGCTTGACGAAATTAGCCAACAGCCAGTCCTATAGGGGGGAAAAAAAAGAAAATCAATTTGGGCCAAGCTTTCTTAAATCAAAGGGATCTTTCCTTGCCCAGTTAATGGCAGGATCAGTTGCTGGACCTGTAGCAACTGAATGTAATATGTGGCCCCTACTACCTGTGACATGTTGGACTTTTTGATAGGCAAGACTAGGTGTTCTCTCTCTAAATATAAATTGTGGGGTACATATTTTTTTCCCTTTCCTCTCTCCTGAACATTTCTTATTGATCTCAGGCTTATAAAATTAGTTAAGTGAGAATTATAAAAATCATATAAGGGGTTGAGAAAGAGTAAAGAGCTGTTTGTCTACATGTGTGAGTTGAGGATCTTATCCTTCATATCATACTCCCAACCAGAGAACAAATACAAAAATAAACACGCCATGTTATACATAATACAAAGTATAAATCTACAAACACAAGTGTACTAATTAGAGTTGTTCCTCAGAAGCACGGCTTCCCTCCAGTCCCTCAGAGAGGAGGAGGAATGGGGACGGGATGGTTTTCATTACGCCTTTTCACGTCTTAAAAAGTTTGTAATAACAGTCTCAGTAGCGCAAACAATTTCATGTGAAACCAGAAGCTGTAAAAATAAATTACTTTTGAGGAAATGAGGGTTCCTCTGTAGCTCAGAACTCATCATGCCGTACTAAGGCCTCCCCAAAATCTGTGGCCTGGCTGCCAACAAATAAGTCATACTTGTCAACAATCTCCTCCTTGGTAAGCTTGCCGTCCTGAAATTAGAGATAGCAATGAATTGAAGCAGAAGATATTTCCCATTAAAAATTCAGAAACACTGTTATTGAAAAACAGGGGTTAATCAGGAGTTAAGATTCTCATTCCTACTAAATTAAGTGTGAACTCAGCTCTCATTCCCCCTATATACATACAAAGAGGGAAGAAAACAGCAATTACACATTTTTCTTTTATTTATTTATTTATTTATTTATTTTTTTGAGATGGACTTTTGCTCTTGTTACCCAGGCTATAGTGCAATGGTGCAATCTTGGCTCACCACAACCTCTGCCTCCCAGGCTCAAGTAACTCTCCTGCCTCAGCCTCCCGAGTAGCTGGGATTACAGGCATGTGCCACCATGCCTGGCTAATTTTTGTATTTTTAGTAGAGACAGGGTTTCACCATGTTGGCCAGGCTGGTCTCAAACTTCCAACCTCAGGTGATCCGCTCACCTTGGCCTCCCAAAATACTGGGATGACAGGTGTGAGCCACCGTGCCAGGCCAATTACATATTTCTTTTATCAAGAAAGTTAAAAGTGGAAGGTGGAAATAATATAACCCGACAACTCAATGCTAGAAATAAAGGTTTGTTTCATGAGAAGAAAACTCTCCTTCTAGAGGAAAATATAGAACATCTTCCAGATAGGGATGACTATATGCATCTTCTTTTCTCATACATCTCAGGACACAACACCTGGCTATTAAAGTGACTTTAAGCAAGAACTGAAAGCAGATCAACACTTAAAAAACTGAATTTGAAACTGAAGATTAGCCTAGATAAAAATATACTCAGAACACTAAAAATCTCCATCTTTAAGCTGGTTTTCAGCTTACTCCAAGCAGGGCATTCAAATCTCTGATACAGATGACTGGGCTTAGGGGTAACAACACCAAAATACCTAAGATAATTGATCAAGGACAATTTGAACAGGCTCCAGAGAAAAGCTACCCAATTAAAAAAAAAAAAGCATATTTGATTTAAGAAGGAAACAACTAGCTTTGAGTAGGCAGAATGGCCCTGTAATAGGTAAAGGAACAAATAAAGTAAGAAAGCAAAAAAATAGAAATGTTAATTAAGATTACCTTTGTTCCA